CAGTGGCGATGATTTTACAGACACACACACGCCCACCTGCAACATAAAAATAGTCTTTATTTTTTAAAGTCGTATTGCAAACAAAACACAGTGTTATCACCAGAAAAAAACAATAGCCACAACACTGCAGCGATGTTTAACCCACAAACACACAGCCGGAATCATCAAGAGCACTGTGTCTGTGAAATATAATATCATCGACAAGGAAGGGCGGCACACAGAGAGAGAGAGGACGACTCAGACAGAGGACAGCGTCTTGGTGGCTATGAGATGTTAACTACCTCGCCTGGTATACAGGAGGTCGTGGGTTCCATCCCGACGCCTGCTGTATATTTGTAATTTGCGTGTCTCTTTCTCATCATCATCACAGTGGCTAGGAGATGTTAACTACCTCGCCTGGTATACAGGAGGTCGTGGGTTCGATCCCTACGCCTGCTGCTGTATATTTGCAGTTTGCGTGTCTCTCATCATCATCACGGTGGCTAGGAGATGTTAACTACATCGCCTGGTGTATAGGAGGTCGTGGGTTCCATCCCGACGCCTGCTGTATATTTGGAGTTTGCGTGTCTCTCATCATCATCATCATCACGGTGGCTAGGAGATGTTGACTACCTCGCCTGGTTTACAGGAGGTTGTGGGTTCGATCCCGACGTCTGCTGTATATTTGGGTTTCGCGTGTCTCCCATCATCATCATCATCACGGTGGCTATGAAATGTTAACTACCTCGCCTGGTTTACAGGAGGTCGTGGGTTACCTCCCGACGCCTGCTGCTGTATATTTGGAGTTTGCGTGTCTCTCATCATCATCACGGTGGTTAGGATATGTTAACTCCCTCGCCTGGTATACAGGAGGTCGTGGGTTCGATCCCTACGCCTGCTGCTGTATATTTGGAGTTTGCGTGTCTCTTTCTCTCATCATCACGGTGGCTAGGAGATGTTAACTACCTCGCCTGGTATACAGGAGGTCGTGGGTTCGATCCCGACGCCTGCTGCTGTATATTTGGAGTTTGCGTGTCTCTTTCTCATCATCATCACGGTGGCTATGAGATGTTAACTACCTCGCCTGGTTTACAGGAGGTTGTGGGTTCGATCCCTATGCCTGCTGCTGTATATTTGGAGTTTGCGTGTCTCTCCTCTCGGTCTTTCCCCTCCGCGTTTAGAATCGACATTGAAACTGCGGGACAATGGTCCACCCGCCGACAAGTCCCGCACTCACTTCGCCGAGGCTCTCGTTCCGTGATGGCCGGGTTCCGTTTCTGATTTTTAAAAAGTATAACCCGTAAAAACAAAGTTTTTCACTCTAAATCCTTTATATGTGTGGCGGCTAGAGTCCTCTCGTCCTCTGGCTTGAGATGGCTGCCACCTATGGGTCAGATGATTGTCTGCAGTATTAAACAATTGGTAATTAAATATTTAATTTGTTTTCCCTAAACAGTGTAAAATTTTTGAAATTTTTTTTTCACGAACATTAATTGTCTCGCACAACGAGTCTGTGTGCAAAATCTCAGCTCGATTGGATCACGGGAAGTGGGTTAAAAAACGACTGAAAGGTTTGCGCGGTCGTAAGCAAGCAAGTGAACTTAATATAAAGGATTTAAAAAATCTACGAAGCTACGCGGGAAGGCAGCAGCCAACACCTGCCCCAAGTTCTGCGGTCCTACACATGGATTATTGTCATCCAATCAACGGAAAACCGCAGAAAACCCTCAGCCGTGTGTGAACGTGATGATGATGATGATACACTATACACTACACTATAAACTACGAGACACTACACACTACACTACAAACTACTATACACCACACTACTATACACAACGATATTACAGTACTATGCACTACACAACTATACACCGCAAAGATTTCGATTTAAAGCTTTCGTGACTGCAGGGATTCATGTTCTTTCGGTAAAGTAGCGTAGAAGAGAAAGAAAGCAAATTTTTTTATTATTATTTTATTCCCTTTTACGTGACTTTACCGAAAGAACCAAGAATACTATACACTACGCAACTATACACAACACTAGTAACTATACTACTATACACTCCACTATAAACTACTATACATTACACTATACACTACTAAACACAACACTATACACTACTAAACACAACACTATACGACTATACACTACACTATACACTACTATACACTATAAACTACTATACACTACACTATACACTACACTCTGGGGCAGGGTGGTGAGCGGTGTGAGTGCGTTTTGAGTCGGCTGCCCTATGCCGCCGCCTCCTGGACGATGCCAGGAGGTCGCCGCGTCTCCCCAACATCCCCACACGGTTTCGATTTAAAGCTTTCGTGACTGCACGGAGTCATCTTGGTTCTTTCGGTAAGTCACGTAGAATGGAAATAATAAAATAATGAAAATAAAACATAATAAAATAATTCTCACGACGTTTCGGCCACAACGCAAGCAGCCGTCCTCAGGTGAAGAACAGGTCTGTCGGAAAGACAGCGTCTGAATGAAACACCACCAGGCTTGGCAGCGTATATTTAAGCTGCTGGGTTGGAGGGGGAAGAGCGCCTTGACAAAATAATTTGCATATCAATAGGAATTTAGCATATTAAAGGGAAATGCAGGTATGTGATTAGTACTACTTATGCCCGTGCATTATGCATAAGTAGTACTAATCACATACCTGCATTTCCCATATCCCCTCCCTTTGATGCTGCTATTCCTGCATAATGCACGGGCATAAGAAGTACTAATCACATACCTGCATTTCCATAAATATGCTAAATTCCTCTTGATATGCAAATGCCTTTGTCAAGGCGCTCTTCCCCCTCCAACCCAGCTTAAATATACGCTGCCAAGCCTGGTGGTGTTCATTCAGACGCTGTCTTTCTGACAGACCTGTTTCTTCACCTGAGGACGGCTGCTTGCGTTGTGGCCGAAACGTCGTGAGAATTATTTATTATGTTTGATTTTTATTATTTTATTATTTCCATTCTACGTGACTTTACCGAAAGAACCAAGAAGATGAATCTCTACACGGTGTCTCGGAGTTTCCCGGGACACGCACAAGACAAAGATCCCCCGTGTAGCCTTAACAGACTGTAGGGGCAAGTGCTGTTAGCGAGTAGCACCTATGAAGGTCGGCACAGCACACGAATCTAGGGGTCTCTGTGTGTGTGGGTGAGTCTATGGGTCTGTGTGTGGGTGGAGTCTATGGGTCTCTGTGTGAGTCTATGGGTCCTCTGTGTTAGTCTGTGGGTCTATGGGTCTCTGTGTGTGTGGTGAGTCTATGGGTCTCTGTGTGAGTCTATGGGTCTCTGTGTGAGTCTGTGGGTCTATGGGTCTCTGTGTGTGGTGAGTCTATGGGTCTCTGTGTGTGTGGTGAGTCTATGGGTCTCTGTGTGTGGGTGAGTCTATGGGTCTCTGTGTGTGTCGGCGAGTCTATGGGTTTCTGTGTGTGTGGTGAGTCTATGGGTCTCTGTGTGTGTGGGTGAGTCTATGGGTCTCTGTGTGTGTGGGTGAGTCTATGGGTCTCTGTGTGTGGGTGAGTGAGTCTATGGGTCTCTGTGTGTGTGGTGAGTCTATGGGTCTCTGTGTGAGTCTATGGGTCTCTGTGTGAGTCTATGGGTCTCTGCGTGTGGGTGAGTCAGGCAACGTACACGCAGCATGAATACGACAGAAAGATGTTGAATTATCATCACGGATAGGCGTGCCTTGCGGTCTAGTGGTAGTGCCTTACGCAGTACGATCCCATACTTGCGAGCGAGGCGATGAGAGCGTGTCCAGCGGGCCCAGAAACAATAACCGTGGTCAGAAATGAAGCCGCGCACACGTGCAAGTGCTGCTCATTTAGAAACAACACTGGTCAGCAAAAAAATTCTGGCCTGGACTTTTGCAGCTGTTTTAGACTAATTTCAGGGTGCTGATTCCAAATCTGATCTCAGATTTGCTCTATCACATCTCATTTTTGTGCTATCGGCATACCCCATTTTCATTGATTTTACCCGAAATTAACTCTGTCACTTATGATTGCAAGTTGTTGCGAGCCAGTGACTGCTTTAGTGCGAAAATACGGTGCTGTATTTTTAGGATAGTGTGTTTATAATATCATTATATGTAGATATCCACATTTATTTAATATTTCTCTTCTGCAGTTTTTATTGAAAATGCAATATTTGATATCTCAAAAACCTGATGTGATGGACAAAAACTGATTCCACATTTGGAATCAGCACCCCAAAATTATACCTTATGCCAGAAAAGTGTGCTGACCAGTGCAATCAATCAATCTCGGCCCACTTTTCCGAACTGAATCGGGTCGCAGCTCCCGGCTCGCCGGCCCCTCCTCGGCCGAGACGCCACCGCCGTGGTCTTCGCAGGACAGAGGTCGCAAACGGGTTTTGATTCCTTACCCGTACCCGTACCGGCCGCACCAGGGTCGCAAACGGGTATCGGGTACCCGATTGCGACCTCTGGGATGAAGCCATGTTGCAGGCGCGGGTGGGTTGATTCTAGGAACTTGAATTGTGAGAAGAGACAAGACTTTGGGAAATGAGTGACAAACGGTTACTCACCAGTGACTCACGGCCTACCCGTACCCGTACCCGGCCGCACCAGGGTCGTAAACGGGTACCCGTACCCGGCTGGGTACGGCTAGCCGGGTATCGGGTAGGGTACGGGTATCGGGTACGGGTAGCCGTGTATCGCGTAGGGTACGGGTATCGGGTACGGGTAGCCGTGTATCGCGTAGGGTACGGGTATCGGGTACGGGTAGCCGTGTATCGGGTAGGGTCCGGGTATCGGGTAGGGTACGGGTATCGGGTAGGGTCCGGGTATCGGGTAGGGTCCGGGTATCGGGTAGGGTACGGGTATCGGGTAGGGTACGGGTATCGGGTACCCGGTTGCGACCTCTGTCGCAAGGCCATTGCCGGCGGCCTCCGGGTTTGTTTCGTTTGTTCACAGAGCGAGAGACGACTGTGTGTTGGCGATGCGGGACATCGACGGAACGCCGGACACGTCGTTCGCTTCAACTCGGCGTCCACCACCCAGACCACGTCAGCGGCGACGCGTCCACCGCCCAGACCACGGCGGCGGCAGCCAGACGCGAAAGCGCCGCCTGGCGACGATGCTGCTGCTCGGGTGGGAAACTCAACAAAGTCTCGGGCAGCGGCGTGGCGACTGTGGGTCATCCACAACGTGCAACGTGCAACGCCGCAATGTCCCGATCAACACGCACGGAGGGGGAGACATCACGGCGACGACGACGACGACGACGACGATGATCCAGCACTCCACTGGCCCCTCACGCCGTTGTGTCCGTCTGGACTTGACCACCCGAATGTGAGAATTAAGCCCCCCAGGTGCGACGATGACGACGACGACGACAACGATAACTACGACGACGACAACGACGATGACCGTGAGGACGGCCGAAGGGGCGGCCGTGACGTTCACCCGTCGTCACCGCCTCTCCCGGCCATGGCCGCCCCCCCTGCCCAAAGGATGACTCAATACGCCCGAGTTTGCCTCGCATCTTTCCTCCTCCTCCCTCGCCCCCCTTCCTCCCCCTCCTCCTCCCCCCCCCTCCTCCCCCCCCGCCCCTCCCCTCTTCGCGTCGACGGGAGCGCTAGCCGGCCTCGTCCGCTCGCTCATCTCCACGGCGACGCCCTCCGCGTCACGCGGCCTCTTCCGGAGCAGCCGCTGTCGCTCCGGCTCCCGCTCCGCCTGGCCGCCGACGAGCGGCCCAACGTCCGCCGCGACCGCCGCCGCTGCGGCTTCCACCGTCGCCTGCGTGGCGACGCCGGCGCCGGTGACACCGCCGGTGACGCCGCCGGTGACGCCGCCGCCGACCTCCTGGCAGTTCTCGAGCGCGGCGAGCACCGGCACCACGACGAGCAGCAGCAGCCAGCCGATGAGCGCCAGGCCGTAGGAGTAGCCAAAGCGCAGCAGGCCGGGACCCCCCTCGTAGCCGCTGCGGACCGTGAACGATGCCCACGGGATGAGCGTCAGCACGCCTGGGGGGCGGGGGGGGGCACGGGGGGGGGGCACGGGGGGGGGCATGGGGGGCACAAGGGGGGGCACAAGGGGGGGTGGGAGGGTGAGGGGTCGGTGGCCGTGGGAGGATGTGGAGGGGGGGGGTGATGGGGAGCAGGGGTGGAGGGAATTGGGGTGAGGGGGCATGCGAGATTACAGCGGCACGGGGATAGGTGGGGGGTGAGGGGGCAGTGGAGCGAGGTGATGAGAGGGGAGAGGCAGGGGAGAGCGTGGAGAGGAGTGGAATGAGATGAGAGGGGAGAGGCAGGGGAGAGCGTGGAGTGGAGTGAGATGAGAGGCAGGAGAGAGCGTGGAGCGGAGTGAGATGAGAGGCAGGGGAGAGCGTGGAGCGGAGTGAGATGAGAGGCAGGGGAGAGCGTGGAGGGGAGTGGAGTGAGATGAGAGGGGGGAGGCAGGGGAGAAGCGTGAAGGGGAGTGGAGGAGATGAGAGGGGAGAGGCAGGAGAGTGCGTGGAGAGGAGTGGCGTGAGATGAGAGGGGGGAGGCAGGGGAGAGCGTGGAGGGGAGTGAGAGTGAGATGAGAGGGGGGAGGCAAGGGGAGAGCGTGGAGGGGAGTGGAGTGAGATGAGAGGGGGGAGGCAGGGGAGTGCGTGGAGTGAGATGGATAGGCAGGGAAGAGTGTGGAGGGGAGTAGAGTGAGATGAGAGGCAGGAGAGTGCGTGCAGCGGAGTGGAGTGAGATGAGAGGCAGGAGAGAGCGTGGAGGTGGAGTGAGATGAGAGATGAGAGGCAGGGGAGTGCGTGCAGCGGAGTGAGCCTGCCAGTCACATCCACCAGGAGTGATCGGGCCCCACCGGCGCTACTCACCGGTGGGCATGAGCACGGCGAGGAGCAGCGAGCTGGGCACCAGCGTGCGTCGCGGTGCAGGGCGGGGGTCCCGTGCCGCCGCTGGTCCCAGAAGAGCAGCATGTGGAGGCAACCCGGAGGCCCCGGCGCACGCCAGCACGCACGCGGTGCCCGCGTACACACGCTCCGCCTGCACGGCTGCGGAGAGGCACGCCCGGGATGTTAGCTACCTCGCCTGGTACGCAGGAGGTCGCGCGTAGACTCACACAGAGACCCATAGACTCGCGCGGAGACCCATAGACTCGCGGGGGAGACCCATAGACTCGCGCGGAGACCATAGACTCGCACAGAGAGACATAGACTCGCACAGAGACCCATAGACTAACAGAGACCCACAGACTCACACAGAGACCCATGGACCTCCACAGAGACCCATAGACTCACACAGAGACCCATAGACTCGCACAGAGACCCATAGACTCGCACAGAGACCCATCGACTCACACAGAGACCCACAGACTCACACAGAGACCCATAGACTCACACAGAGACCCATAGACTCGCACAGAGACCCATAGACTCGCACAGAGACCCATCGACTCACACAGAGACCCATCGACTCACACAGAGACCCATAGACTTACACAGAGACCTACACAGAGACCCATAGACTCACAGAGACCCACAGACTCACACAGAGACCCATAGACTCACACAGAGACCCACAGATTCACGCAGACTAGCAATGTTGGCTACGTACTGCGCGAAAGAAGTTCAATGAACATACCACGGCCGTGAATTTACCAAACATGAGCGGTGCCCGAAATCGCACCCAAATTCGTCATCTTCGATCAATGAATCACGACCACCCACCACTCCACCCACCATCCACCACACCACTCACCCACCACCCACCCCACCCACCACGCCAACCACCCAACCACCACCCACCCACCACGCCACCCACCCACCCACCCACAACGCCACCCACGCCACCCACCCACCCACCACCCACCCCCAACCAACCACCCACCACTCCAACCACCCACCCACCACTCCACGACCCAGCCACCCACCCCACCCCCACCACGCCACCCAACCAACCAACCACCCACCACTCCACCCACCCAGGCATCCACCCACTACTGCACCACTCTACCCATCCAGCAACCCCCACTCAACCACTCCACCAATCAGCCACCCACCACTCCACCCACCACTCAACCATCCACCCACCA